CGGTTGCCGTCAATGGATGGCAATCGATGTCCGTCGGTGATTGGCACTAGATTGCGGAACAGAGACCGACGTTAAATAAAGGAAAAGAAGAAGAAGAGTAGTATGCAACAACAGAGCAGGTAAGCTAGACGGTGAAAGCGCAATACAACCATAGAGGTAACTCTAAGACTAGAAGGTCCCGAAATAACGTGCTCAACTTTTTGGCTCAGCTCTGGTACTCTCTTCGGTCCCAAGCTAGTCGATTCACCCCTCGAAACATAGGAAAAACCAATAACCCCTCATTTTATCTGTCAAACTTTCATAGCGAATCAAAACAAACATTGCGTAGTACTAGAATTTCGACTAGAATAGGGTACGTTAATCGTTTGCTTGGGACCAATAGGCTACTAAAGTGGTGAGCCAATTTAAAATCGTTAGTTTCGTATTGATTGTTGATACAACGGTAGAATCCAGGCGATAGCAATGCGCCAAAATGTTTACAGCTATCCAGCAGCTCGCAAGCTTCAAAATTTTGCTGGAAAGGTGGCACTTCGAATAAACAAACATCGCGTGAGGTTTGCTTAGGAAAGTGTTTGTAAACAATATTCAAAATGATTCACTTTCACTAAACGGTGTTTCGCAAAAACCCATTAATCCCATTAAACCCAAAGGAAGGCGGGATCAGAGATGTTATGCCACAGAACATCCCGGCGGCACCGACTGGGATTGAACGCAGGCCTGCTGGGGTGAGAGGTAATCACGCTTCCACTGTACAACTGCTACGCTACCATGCATGGTTTGAAAATAGCTATTTTTTAACCATTAATGGGTTTTTACGTAATACAGTACACGGTAACTGCAAAATACCCAATAATGACTACAAAGTAAGCATTTTCGAGGGAAATTGGGACTACCTATTAAATGAGTAAAATTTTACCCATTTATGAGTAATTACAACTACAATAATAAGTACACTGAAGTCGGGTTTTACGCGTTTTTTGCACGGTTTTTTACATGGTTGTTTTACGCGGATTTCGGAATTTACGCGGTATTTTTTTCGTAGATTTTTTAATTTACGCGTTTTTTTGTAGGGGCACGTATCCCGCGTGAAAAAAGCAACTCCAGTGTAATGTTTTCATTTGTGAGTAAAAATACTGATAAATGGGAACTTTTTTACTCATTTAATGGATATATATACACTGAAGTCTTTTTTTACACGGTTATTTTTACGCGGTTTTTTTTAAACGGTTTTTTTACACGGTTTTCCACGATTTACACGGTACGTTTATAACGATTTCTCGACAACGATACAACCTATCGACTTGCTTCCAATCACATTATCCGTTTCAAGCTGTAGGTAATCGAATGGCATACTTAAAAAAAATCACAATTTTTGGTGTAAATACAGAAATTTTTTAAATATGTCTGTATGGACCATATCATGCTTTCATTACAAATGGCATCAAAATCCGATTTTTTAAAAACATTTAAGCATTCGAAAAATCAAAATCTCGTAGGTTTTATTTTACACGGTTTTTTTTACACGGTACGTAACCCCCGTGTAAAAAAGACCTGAGTGTATATATACATATATATATATATATATATAACTTAAATCCTCATGGGATTTCGATACGTTTTTAAAAAGAAACTAATTGACTACCGTCCACGTTCGTGGTTAAACTAATAATGATTTATTGCCATATGCATCGGAACCTACTACCTTTGCCTTGTCCCTAAAACTCCTGAGCGTGCACCTAGCAACGACGTTCGTCCGGTCGCATGGGTCTCGTTGATGTCATCCGATGCCTCCACGTTCCTGATGGTGCATCGCTTCGATGTTGCTGACTGGGCTGTCTCGGTGCTGGTGTACGCTGGACTTCTCGGGACTGGTGACTCGACAGCTGGTGCTGGGGTGGTTCCGTGCTTAACTTATATATATATATATATATATATATATATATATATATATATATATAGTCCCAGTCTCCCTCGAAAATGCTTACTTTGTACACGCTAATTTGAGCCTACTCAGTGACTGGGTAGACCGCACTCATTTTTGCATGGAGTTGTCAAAAAATTAGTAAACTGGTTTTGCTCCGATGAGTGGGATCTACCCAGATTCAGGGAAAACGATATTAATGTTTATTACACAGTTCGAAAAAGTAGTGTAAATTTTTGTTGAGTATGATGCACATAAATGGAGCGTCACATATCATATAAGTTTACAATATACATATCATGTTAAGTTCTAAGACATTTCATGCAATGTAGCAAATATTGTAAGCAAAAGCCCATTGTTGTAAAAAAACATTGTTTACAATTTGCGCGGTTGCGTGAAATGAAATACAAGTTTACGTGAATGAATCACTATTAAAATTCATATTTGTGTAGGTTCAAAATGGCGCACTTTGAAGTTGTAGATTGCACCATTTACCATAGGTTCTGTTGCGGTTAAAAAAAATCTATGGTTATTTTATCGTTGTGGACAGTAAGATTTATTGTAAATACAATAAATTCTATTGTATGGAATTATGGCTCTTTTTTTAAGGGGTTCCCTTTTGGCTGGACTGAGTGATTTTCAACTCAAAAATAAGTAGCCTCAATAGAATAGTCCGAGACCCATCCCTCCACTTTTCTCTCATAATCAGAATTCGGATCCAAGCTTGCTCATAACCCCAGTTGAAAATCCCAATGCTCTTGGTCAACACTTTGTGAATTCACATAACCTTGGCCAAGGCATGGTGAGTCCCCACGAGTCTGCAGTTTCGGAGACACTGTCTTGAGTTACTAACACCCCCATAGTTGTCCCTGACGCAAAATAGAATATCGGCTGATGAGGTGATAGAAGCGATTAAATCAACTAAGAACATGAGTGTCGCTGGTATCGATGGAGTTGACTTCTTCGAGCACCTTCCAGCGGTCTTCAATAAGTGTTTGGTGCTTGGCTCCTTCCCTGCATGCTGGAAGTTAGCCAAAGTCATTCCAATCCACAAGCCTGGAAAAGACCTTACCAGTGCCAAAACATATCGTCCCATTAGCCTCTTGTCCTCCATCTCGAAGCTATTCGAAAAGTTCATACTCAGCTGTCTGCTGGTGTTTTCAAATGATAATAACATCTTTCTCAAAGAGCAATTCGGGTTTAGGAAAGGCCACTCTACCATCCACCAACTCGCACGGGTTACTAACATCATCAAACGGAACAAGTCCGTTTCCAATACATCTGCCATGGCATTGTTGGACGTCGAGAAGGCGTTCGACAATGTCTGGCATGACGGCCTAGTGTACAAACTGCACCGATACAACTTTCCGATCTACCTCGTGAAGATTATCATAAACTACTTGTCGGGCAGATCATTCCAGCCCAAGTAACATTGCAAGTTTTATCGAGGTTTTGAAGCATTCTACAAGTCTAAATCATGTTCTACAAAACCCTCATAAAACCACAATTCTAGAAAGAGCTGGAATTAGGGCGTAATAGCTTTTATAAACAATGACTTCCATCGATGATTTCTAGGAATTAAAGGCACGCCCACGCAGACCAATATAACCATCGCATAGGGAAAGTCTTTCCCTACCCGATAAGGATGTTGCTATGCGTGGGCGAGCCTTGAATTTCAAGAAATCATCAAGAGAAGTCATTGTTTACAAAAGCTGTTAGGCCTTAATTCCAGCTCTATCTAGAATTGTTACTTGGGAGGTCTACTTGAACAATGTCCCCTCTGAAACGTTCAACGTTGATGCAGGGGTCCCTCAGGGTAGCCTGCTTGGGCTTATCCTATTCAACATTTTGCACGTCAGACGTTCCTACCCTGCCGGGTGGTGGTATCCTGTCAATGTTCGCAGATAACACCTCCATCACCTATAAGGGTCGAGTGATCCGTGCTCTGGCGAGTAAACTACATTTTTTTTATTATAGAAGGCATGCTGAAGTTGGGCAGCAGATTTTCAAAAAATATAGATGGGGATTTCAAGAAAAAATAGTGATTTTTTCATAAAACCAATTGAATAATTTTGTAATATTTTTTATGAAGTGCAACAAAAAAGCAGGAATTTGAGTGCTCATGTTTTATAAAAATGAAGCTTTTTTAAATGCAAGATATTAGAAATAAATGACTTTTCCAACATCCAGCACTGACGGGACCCCAGTGGATAACGGAATATTTCCAGATTGGCTCCGGATTTCAAGTGAACCAGCTGCTGTCCACCACATTAATGTCATAATTTTTATGACACCATTGTCTGATGGATAACGGTTTATTAGCTGGAATGTCATCCAATTACCGTAATGCATCGAACACCAAAAAGATAGTTATTCCGGTCATTTCTTTTCGTATCAAACATTTTCGCTGCATAATAACTATGTGAGATAATTCTGAACGATACCATCATTAACTGTATGTGCTATTTTGAGCATAGTAGAAAGCAGTGCAGCAAAATATCGACAATAAACGTCGATATTCAAAATTCTACTCAAGTCACTCATTTGAGCTCAATGTCGCGCGAAAGTATTTCAATGACAATGAAAAATCTCAGCATTCGTAGGAAGTGATAATGAACTATTAAAAGTGTCCGGTTTCGTGGGCTCAGTGTCTGGATTTCGAGCCATTACGGTAGCAAATAAAATAATCAACTCAATTTACGGTAGCAAATAAAATAATCATCCAAATTGTACTAAATCATACTGAAAAAATAGAAGATTTTGAATTTATCAGTCTCACTTTCCATTTTACAGCACATTGTGTCACTTCCTTACTAACGAGGCAAAAATAATCAGCTTAATTAGATGTCGAAGGCTGAAACTTACTCGTGGTCACGAACATTTGAATGCAGCGCAGTACATTTTCCTGGAAAATTCTTCGTCAATCGTTCGTCCAAAACGCACATTGAACGAAGCATGGACTCGCCGCGGTGGAAAACTGAACCAAAACAACACTGCTTTTGTCGCGTCGCTGCGGAAAATTCTCACCATGTGTGTACCCGAAAATAGCTTTTCTCACCATGCTCAGTCTCGATCAAACCGCGGACGCGTACGGAAGTCATAGTTCATTTCATCGTCGCTAGGAAATTTTTTTCATCATCTCTTCATCCCAGGGCCCATCCATTTCATCCAACGGTGGTCATCGAATGGTAGCAAGTGAAATTTCGCGACTTTTCGGCCATTTCCCACGTGGGAATTCCGACTTTTCCAGCTAAACTATGTGCATTAGATAATATTATTAGCAATAGCGCATGATTTATAGGTGAAAATGAGTGCTAAAGTAGGAAAAATGAGCACCAAGCGAGTGCTCATGCTGGGCGTCGCTGTATTCCTTTTATGGATAAAATTGCCGGACCAAAGCGCAGATGCAACTGTACAGACTGAAATGTAAGTTAAATGGATGATTTTCAGGTTCAGATAGGTGAAAAATTTAATTCAATGGATTTTTCCCAGGCAAAAATCTAAATTCGTAACCATTTTGACAGCTGTCATTAGGGGAAAAGTGCCACCAAGATGAAAATGAAAACTTAACGAAACGAAAATCTATTTTCAGACGCGTGAGAATTTCCACGCTCGCTTCTCGTCGGGTTTTCTCCCATGTCACGCAAACAACGTGTTGCGCGTGCCGGCTTCGTGAGATGACGAGATGTTTTTCCGCTTTGTTTTGGACGCGCATGGGGGTTTGTTGGTAAACATGTTTTCTTTCGACAGGCTGACTGATGTAATCATAACAAGAGTCATATGGTTGGGGATTAAACGCGCAAGCGTGTCCGTAAAATAACGTGTTTGTAAACAGTTTCGATGCCGGTCAATGGTGATGTTTTGTTGACAAACATCATATTTTAGATTTGATTGGCATTTTTGGATATCGTCTTTAATATTTTTTTAATAAGATGAAATTTAATTATATTCTATCGATATTTCTTCAAAAAATTCAACAGGTCATCATCATGTGTCTCACACTTAATTTTGCGCTTATTGTGAAACACATCCATTTCAAGTGTGAATCTTATGCTATGAACCATGCCTAAACACTATGGATTTGAATTGTGAAACACTTGGATTCTATGTGCCTCATATGGTGATATCAATAGCTTTGCACATCATAGTTCAATATTCTACAATATTCTACTTTATCGACTTCTACTTTACCGACTATAAAAATATATAAATATATATTGACAAAAATATAAACAAAACCTCCAGAGGCCAGAGCTCTCACATATTTTTTTAATGGGTCTGATTTGGGATTCGATCATGGGGTGTGCTGCTGCCGGAGTCTTCGTTCGATCTCACTGTGCCACGGTTGTTCTCATGTAAGAGGCGGGTTGATAGGATAAAGTCACAACTCTTGTGTTCGATGTTTACCTTTGTGAGCAAGCAATTCACATCGTATTGAAACGCAAAACACTTTAAATCCATCTGTTTTGAACAGTAGTGTGATTCAATGTGCAATACACTTGAATAGATACACACTTAGAAATACCTAATCTTACACATGACGGAATCCATCATTGACCTAAAGGATGAGACGTAAACAAACATGTCATGTAACATTAAGTGCTCTGAGACTGACATGTTCGAAAGTACGTTTGATTGAGCAGAATTTCGCATCTATTATGACTCAATTTTATGTCAAAATTGACGCTCGTATATTTCAGTGTCAGAGCACCTAAATTTACATCAATTTTTCTAAGTGTGTAGTGAAAGATTTTCAACATTTCAAAAAACGAGAAATTAACGTGTATAACACATTGAACCAAGGTGCAATACACTTAAAGTAAATGTGATTGTGCATTTAAAAAATCAAGTGTTTAAACACTTCGATCAAACGTGTGGTATTTTTTGAGTGTAAGAAATGGAGCAAAAAAGTAGGGATGATATCCGGAATAGCTGCTTAGGCACTTGTTATGGTTAATTTCTATGCCTAGACTCCTGCGCTGACAACAATCCCTCAGTTTAAGATCAGGCCAGATGCCTACCCTAATAAATTGGTACCATACACTAACGATAGCATATATGGTACGACCATACCACATACAGTTGGGATGATATCCCGAATTGGTGGTTAGGCGCTTCTTATGGTTATTGTTTATGCGGGTAGATACATCAAACATGCAACTACACTTACATAATTTAAGAGACACTGTATTTCACACGGTTAAACTGTATTTTGAGCAGTTAGCTAGTGAATTTATGCTCATGAATTAATTGACAAACTTTGTTTCTTGACGAAGTTTGCAACTGATTATTTTGTATGGATAGCTGATCAGTGTTGGAAAGTTTATTTAAAAAAAAAACAATCGCGAACGGAATTGGAATAAAAGTTCCCAAACGAGATGTGCGAAGCAATGCATCGCACTTTTCTATGTTATGGTTTCCTAAAGTAATTGTTATATCAGGTATGTTTCGTTTTCTACTGAAGGTAATTGAGTTACATTTTTTACATTTAACTGTAGAAGGCTTTTGTGACACCAAGTATGGAATATTTGTGTTTCGTTGTTGAATGTGTTAATGTCTTCGGCATCTTTTATTTCCAAAAAAAGTTTAATGTCGTCAGCATGTTTGCCACTCTGATGATGTTTTCTTTTTCTAGAGTAGGTGTAATGCCTTATACATGATAAAACCATAGAGGTAACTCTAAGACCAGCAGGTCCCGAAGAAACGTGGTCAACTTTTTGGCTCAGCTCTAGTAATATCTTCGGTCCCAAGCTAATCGATGCACGCCTCGAAAGATAGAAATATCCACGAACCCCTCATTTTATCTGTCAAACTTTCATAGCGAATCATCAATGGGAGTATACATTTAGGTGGCATTTAATATACCATTATAAGGTTCTATAACGCGTGTTTGCGTTATAAAATATAACGCTAAGCGACGTCTCAATGCGACATCGATATAACAAACTCAACTGGAAGACCAACTCGTGCTCTTGATGTGGGAAAAGTGTTGTTTTGTTTTGAAAACGATGGAAAGCGACCTGGCAACTACACTCGATTCGAACATGGAGAAGAGGTGTCAGATGACTATGACCAACAAAGTTTATCTAGCGGCAATTTTCGTTGATTAAAGGATTAACTTGAAAAATAGCCTATTCATAACGAACGAAGGAAGAGATGTGGCTTTGGTAAGCGAAATGTACAATCAAGTTGTGGTTTATTTGCTCGTTAATATGCTTTCTTTCAATTTAACCGATGGTGCACGGTACTAACACTAGGACTTTTTGGAAATCTGTTGTCGCAAAGTGATTGTTTCAATTCAGCATCATGATGGCTAGTATGAACTATCCTGTGAGCACTAACACATCTGAAGAATTCAGATGCTGCCGTAGTAAGTTTTGTTGATTGACAGGTATTCAATACAATTCCTGAAGCAAGAAGCTTAGCAACAATCCGTAATAGAGATATCTCGCGTCACTTTTCAAATAGACCAATGTAACATATCCACCATTTTGAGAAAATCGAAGTTGAAGTTCGACAGATTATTATTTTAACTGTTTAAAAACAATAAATTTTGCAATACTATTTTTAATGTAATCAGTGTATAATAACGTTGAAAATTCAGAAGAAACGGTAAAATCACAATTTTACTTTGAATTTCATGCTACAACATAGAAAAAACCACATAGAACGTTTTGACAAGTCGAGTTGTACATCGGACATGTTAAATTGGACGATTTTTCTCAATGACATTATCAATGAGTGTTACATTGGACGGTTTATCTACATGATACTAGATTCCCTTTCACAGATTCCAGAGTATAGTACCTAACTTTAGATTGGCCCCGCCTTTGGAAAATGAGCACCAATCATGTTAGGCAGCCCGAATGACCGAAGTAACAATCATGTACCCATCATTTCAAACTGTACATTGGACAATTTTTGATCAATGATTATCTTAAATAAATGAAAGTAAATTTGGATGGATGTTTTTGAATCACATACAATGATAGAAGAGCAATAGTTTGTATCGCTTAACTCGATTTGTTTACATTTGTTACATTGGTCGATTTGAAAAGTGTTGCGAGATATGACACAACTTTTTCCTAAATTTATTACATTAAGGTGATACTCTAAGGAAGCCTTAGCGTGAAACTTCAAAGGTACAAATGTCAGCTTCCACAAAACATACAAATTTGAAATTGCTCTCTGTTTGTAGTAGCACAGCAAAAAAGGAGTAGCAATTTCAAATTTGTATGTTTTGTGGAAGCTGACATTTGTGCCTTTAAAGTTTCACGCTAAGGCTTCCTTAGAGTATCACCTTAACCTTAATCCAGCATTTTGTACCTACGTATACAGTGGTGATCGGACAAAGGTCGTTTTCATACAAACTAGCCAAGTTTAACATGTTGTAAATGTGTTCGGTTATGATAAATTGAGCTGAAATTTTGACGCAAAACTACAAATATGTTGAAATACCAAATTTTTAATGGAAGGTGACAATAAAATTAAAATTTGTGGATAGCTGATAGGTCAATGGAAAAACAAGTTATGAGTCAAAATTTCAGCTCAATTGAGCATAACAGAACAAATTTACAACATGTTAAACCTGGTTAATTTTTAAGTGTAGACTTGTGTGTATGTAATGAGAAGTCACCACTAACGTTTTTGCAGCAAAGTACACTTCTGCGTTAAAAATAATCCCTTCAAATAGTATTCACTCAAGCCAGACAAAATACAAATATTATTCTTCAGAGTTCTATCATTACTAGCGTGTTGATATGATCGGTCAAGTCAGACCAAACTGTGACATCTTTTTTGATTTCGAGAAAAACGAATTGGCTGTTCAATATTGTGTCTTATTTAATGGGACAAATCATTTGACCGTTTTTTCTTGCTACTCTAATTTTTCAAATCTGGTTGTAAAAGTGAAATGTAGCTGAGGGAATTCTTGATCTTATGATATCATTATTTCATTTTTTGTTTTTATTTTGCTACTTAGTCCCTTCTGGCTTAACGCCGACCATATGATCTTGTATAGTAAAATGTAGTTCTGTTTTACATTCAAAATCGTCCATTTATATTTTTACTGGTCTGAGTAAAAGTATTCTGAGGGAATTTTTTTAGGGCGGCAGTCTAATTTGGTGCAAATGCAATAACTTTGTTGGATTGCTGCAACTACCGCGCGATCACACTGCTGAGCGCCGCCTACAAGGTACTCTCGCAAATTCTATGCCGCCGCCTGTCACCATTTGCAAGAGACTTCGTGGGGCAATGCCAAATTTTCACGATTCAAGTTCTGCAGAAATGCCGCGTATACAACGTGTCCACACATCATTTGTTCATCGATTTCAAATCCGCATACGACACAATCGATTGAGATCAGCTATGGCAGATTATGCACGAGTACGGATTTCCGGATAAACTGATGCGATTGAAGGCGACGA